CTGCGATTGTAACGAGGAAATTCGGTTAGTCGGAGAATTGCATTTATCAGAGAATTCAATTAGTCAGAGAATTGAATTTGTCGAAGCATTGAATTTATCAGAGAATTGAATTTATCAGAGAATTGAATTTATCAGAGAATTGAACTTGTCAAGAGAACTTGTCAGAATTGAATTTGTCAAAGAATTTAATTAGTCAGAGACTTGAAGTTGTCAAAGTATTAAATTTGTCAGAGAATAGAATTGATCAGAGAATTGAAATAGTTGACGAATTAAATTTGTCAGAGAATTGAACCTGTCAGAGAATTATATTTGCCAAAGAATTGAATTTGTCAGAGAATTCAATTTGCCAGACAATTGAATTTATCAGAGAATTGAATTAGTCGAAGAATGATATTTGTCAGACAATTGAATTTGTGAGAGAATTAAATTGATCAGAGATTTGAATCTGTCAGATCATGAAATATGTCAGAGAATTGAATCGAGCGAAATCTTGTCACTTTCGAACGTGGCTAAGATTATTCTCGATATTTGATTAATACTTCGAGACAGTCTATATTAGGTGTTGTCTTATCAGAATAATTACATAAATCTGCATTTTCGCAGACAAAAGAAGCCAAGACTCGGCGTAACTTGTTTTCCCGGTCGTTTCGCAGGTCGGAGGGCGAACATGATTTTTCAAATTCCGCGCAAAGATTTACGGTCCAGTCGGAATAGGAAACGAATCAACGCGCGTCCGCGAATTCTTCGGCTGACAAAACCGTTCCCGCTGCGTCGCGACGAAACGAATTTAATCCGTGTCCCCGGTAATTGTCTCGCCTTGCCCGGATTTTACAGCTTTTCCCGATTGGAAGAAATTCTCTGCCTTAAATGAAATTTCAACCCGTGCCGACGGCGACCCGGCGGCAGACAATTTATCTGCATATTTGCCTTTATCTGGCAAAACGGTCCTCATAAACTGCCGCGAAAAGGCGCCTTACTCGTCGAAAGTCGAAAACTTACGATCTCCCCGCTGAAGAGGCTGAATTCGTTCGATGAAAATTCAGAGTTAATTAATTTTCTGACAAGTTTAATTCTCTGACAGATTCAATTGTCTGACAAATTTAATTCTTCGACTAATTCAATTCTCTGAAAAATTCAATTCTCTGACTAATTAAATTCGTTGACAAATTCAATTCTCTGACTAATTCAATTCGTTGAAAAATTCAATTCTCTGACAAGTGCAATACTCTGATAAATTCAATGCTTTGACAAATTGAATTCTGTGACAAGTAAAATTCATTGACTCATTAAATCCTCTGACAAATTGAAATCTCTGATAAATGCAATTCTCTGACAAATATTCAATTCTCTGACAACTTTACTTCTACGACTAATTCAATTCTCTGATCCTGTAAGTCACACTTGAGCTTCTTAATCGACAAGTGTCCCTTCGATCACTAACTTATCATTTTCGTTACCACTTTATTTACCGTTTTATTTACCACTTAAAATTTGTATACTCACGTTAACATAAATAAACTATTCTTTCGCTCTTTCTTACAACGAACCCTGCAATCTGTGCGGAACTTTTCGCGCAGTATTAATAACGCAAACGTCCAATTTTCGGAACACTGAGAAACGACGGGGCTCGCGCCATTTGTCACCAAAGAGGCTCGTTTGCGTCCGTCGTTCCCTGGAAAGTTACATCCGCGCGACTCGTTCGTTAGAAAGTCAATTACGCGTCCGACCGTGGAAGGGGTTGATTGCGTTGTTTAAAACGTCGCGGTTGCGTAACGCGCGCTACTAGGGAAGCTAAACTGAATCTCGTTGTTTTCTAATCGGCGCGATCGTTCACGGGCCGGCTGGAGCAAGGTCGAAGGTTTAGAGGCACAATAACACGGTCTCGTTAACGCGGAGCATTCCTCCCGCCCCTCTGCCGCGATCCTCGCCACGTGCTCCCGTTTCTACGACGTTACATTAAGCAGATTGCGCCCTCGGTTTTCCTGTCCGCGGAACGCGGCGGCACGCGAGATTGTAGCTCGTCGAGGGTCCGTCTATTTATCCCGTGCCAGATCCAGTTCCAGCTTCAGCTCCAGTTTCCGTTCAAGGTGACGGATGCTGCCAGGTGAAATCCGTCGACGTCGCGACGTTCGTTAATCGCGATAAAGGAGAGTGGCCGCCGAATGCGGCGCGATACACGGTGCACCGCGCGACGCGTCCCCGCCTCTTAAAACGCGGCTACTTTCTTTTTTTCAAACTGCGCTAAACGACTTGAACTTCTTTTCTTCTTTTTTTTTTAGAACGATGGAGCGACTGATGAATTCTATTCTCTGACCGATTTCATTATCTGACAGACTCAGTTCTCTGATCAATTTAATTCTCTCATAAATTCGATTGTTTGACAAATTTAATTCTTCGACTAATTAAATTCTCTGATAAATTCAGTTGTCTGGCAAATTGAATTCTCTGACAAATTTGATTCTACGACTAATTCAATTCTCTGATTAATTCTATTCTCTGACACATTTGATACCTTGACTAATTCAATTCGTTGACAAATTCAATTCTCTGTATAATGACTAAAGTGCACTTCTTTTTAGTTTTGATATTTCTTGGAACGACGGAAAGGAAATAAAATAGCTCTTGTCTTTTTTAACTCGTTCATCCGAGTCTGTTAAAAAAAGATTGAAAAACTGTGATCGAAATCGGAAAGATTTCAAAAGGCTGCAGATTTTTTTAGAGTTTTCGACCACACGCGTGAAAAATCGCGACAAAACTGCGACTTTTGCGATCTTCGATTTGTTGTAACGCAAAATTTGTTGTAAACTCGACGTACGATATGCGAGTACGTTACCGGGATCAACGAAAGGCATTTTTTAAACTTCCGTCTTACTTTTTTCTGTCGATCCAAGCGACGGAAAAATGTAAAAAAAATCATTTCAGTCGTTGTCCAGTAGACTAAACCCTCTATCATCTAAAAAAAGAAGAAGAAATCAAACGATTTGCTGCAATTTGAAAAAAGCGATCGCGTTTTGAAAGATGTACGAACACTTTCGCGTTCGGCCGCTGTACCCGTCTGAAAGGCGTTGCGCCCCGGCGAAATAGAGCCGCCGTTTTTGTCGCCGCGTAGCCGACGCCTCGTTATCCCCGAGCGATGTTTATTTAAAAAGTAGTCGGTTAATGCGACCGTAAAATCGTTAATGCACCATCGAGAACGCCGCGTCGGCTCCGCCGAGAATATATGCTGCCACGCGTTTCTATAACGCCGTGAATTTCTAGAGGCGATAGGTTCCGCGATGAAATTAGGGGCTCTCGCGAAAAAGCGCATAAAGCGGCGGGACATTTTAGGACGCGTAAAACCGTTACGCGGGACTCGAGAGACGCTTCGGCGGCTGTGAAGAGCCCTGTCGGTTCCGCTGAAAAGTTTTAGAGCTCGCTGAAATACGGGATTACAGACGCCGAACGGCTCGCGCGGACAATTTAACGACGCGTTGTAAGGGCGCGGACGGACTTCGGGGATGATGGATTCCGATACATGGACGAAGGGTGTTCTGGAAAAAAATTCTGGGGATGCTGGGCGACTGGATTAGACGCCCCGAAGGGATCTCGGGGCGAGAAAATGTTCCTAGAACTTGTATAAATGTTGTACGGGGTTGTAAGGCAGTGTTGGCAAAGGGTTGGTTAAAGATTGTTATTACCAGACTGCGGATTTTTGTGCAGAATAAAAATTCTTTCTATTAGTTGCGAGATTTTAAACCTAGATAGACATTTACAGTAATTGTCCGGAGATCGGAATTGAAACCGGCAGATCTGGGAATACTAAGTCACGATTCTTCGAGCCGCGCGACTCGTTCTTATAGAAATTACTTTATAGAAACTTTTTTATTCCTAACCTTCTTGCCACGATTCGAAGGCAATTCGGTGGCCATATGACCCGATTAGCATCCATTAGCGTCGATTTAGCAATAAATTACATGGGAGTAGGACTAGCACAGGGAGATTCACAGCAACCCGAAATTTGGCATTTCCGAGAGAAATTACTGTATTNATTCTTCGAGCCGCGCGACTCGTTCTTATAGAAATTACTTTATAGAAACTTTTTTATTCCTAACCTTCTTGCCACGATTCGAAGGCAATTCGGTGGCCATATGACCCGATTAGCATCCATTAGCGTCGATTTAGCAATAAATTACATGGGAGTAGGACTAGCACAGGGAGATTCACAGCAACCCGAAATTTGGCATTTCCGAGAGAAATTACTGTATTTCCTTTTTTAAAGATGTGAAGAAAAAAGTTAACGGTGGTACAATAATACAGTAAATTCTCCCCAATTCTGCTTCAATTTTGCTTTGTAAACAAAAATGGACAGTTTGGGAAGAGCAGAGATTATTATGGTTGCCGATTGTCAACAATTATAAAAACGAAGTGCGAGGCTCGAGTAATGGTATCTCATCTTCCCAAATTGTCCATTTTTGTTTACAAGCTGGAAAAATAATTAGGGAGAATTTACTGTATTTTTAAATTGCTTAAAAAATATTCTGCTACCTTGCACTTCAACAACCGGCTTTTGTCATGAATGCATAAAATCCGCGGTTCGGTTATCACGAAGTTGCGAATCTTTGTGTATAAAAATAAAATATTTAGACTAGCGATTAAATTTAATAAAATTATTTCGCTCGATCACGAGTTAGCTAAAAAATGTGTCAATTTTAGTAGAAAGAAATCTCGGGACAAACAACGTCTTCAAGGCCTGTAAAAATCTTACGCAGCATCGTAAAACACTTAATAATAATCGTTAACAAGTCAACGATTATTATTGCTATAGACTGTAGATGTTCCTAACAAATAAAAATGTCTAGACTGCTCTTAGCCGAGTCAACTACAATTCCACGTAGAATTTTCTCCGGCGCCGTAGCAAATTCAAAAATGGGTTAATCACAGCGGAAACAAGTGCATGCAATCCGTGTTCTGGCTGTCAGCGTCAGCGCCAACTAGACAATGGTTCTCACCTTCTGTTGCAGATGAAGAGGAGCCAGGATGACGCCTTGAGTCGTCGGAACAACGACGGCGACTGATTATGACGCGCGTCCGCACGCGCCGCGATCTCTCTCGTCTCCTCCTGCCATTCTCACCCTTCAAGACCCTTCATCTTTCTCGCAGCCTGACTCTCATCCTCCTCGGCCTGGCCTGCGCTCGCAGCGTGCTGCCCTGCAACGAAACCACGAAGTCCCGGAGCGAGGACACGGTCGGCCCTCGTCTAGGCAACGTCACCGACGAACAAGATCTCCAAAGTGGCCNGGGGTTGTAAGGCAGTGTTGGCAAAGGGTTGGTTAAAGATTGTTATTACCAGACTGCGGATTTTTGTGCAGAATAAAAATTCTTTCTATTAGTTGCGAGATTTTAAACCTAGATAGACATTTACAGTAATTGTCCGGAGATCGGAATTGAAACCGGCAGATCTGGGAATACTAAGTCACGATTCTTCGAGCCGCGCGACTCGTTCTTATAGAAATTACTTTATAGAAACTTTTTTATTCCTAACCTTCTTGCCACGATTCGAAGGCAATTCGGTGGCCATATGACCCGATTAGCATCCATTAGCGTCGATTTAGCAATAAATTACATGGGAGTAGGACTAGCACAGGGAGATTCACAGCAACCCGAAATTTGGCATTTCCGAGAGAAATTACTGTATTTCCTTTTTTAAAGATGTGAAGAAAAAAGTTAACGGTGGTACAATAATACAGTAAATTCTCCCCAATTCTGCTTCAATTTTGCTTTGTAAACAAAAATGGACAGTTTGGGAAGAGCAGAGATTATTATGGTTGCCGATTGTCAACAATTATAAAAACGAAGTGCGAGGCTCGAGTAATGGTATCTCATCTTCCCAAATTGTCCATTTTTGTTTACAAGCTGGAAAAATAATTAGGGAGAATTTACTGTATTTTTAAATTGCTTAAAAAATATTCTGCTACCTTGCACTTCAACAACCGGCTTTTGTCATGAATGCATAAAATCCGCGGTTCGGTTATCACGAAGTTGCGAATCTTTGTGTATAAAAATAAAATATTTAGACTAGCGATTAAATTTAATAAAATTATTTCGCTCGATCACGAGTTAGCTAAAAAATGTGTCAATTTTAGTAGAAAGAAATCTCGGGACAAACAACGTCTTCAAGGCCTGTAAAAATCTTACGCAGCATCGTAAAACACTTAATAATAATCGTTAACAAGTCAACGATTATTATTGCTATAGACTGTAGATGTTCCTAACAAATAAAAATGTCTAGACTGCTCTTAGCCGAGTCAACTACAATTCCACGTAGAATTTTCTCCGGCGCCGTAGCAAATTCAAAAATGGGTTAATCACAGCGGAAACAAGTGCATGCAATCCGTGTTCTGGCTGTCAGCGTCAGCGCCAACTAGACAATGGTTCTCACCTTCTGTTGCAGATGAAGAGGAGCCAGGATGACGCCTTGAGTCGTCGGAACAACGACGGCGACTGATTATGACGCGCGTCCGCACGCGCCGCGATCTCTCTCGTCTCCTCCTGCCATTCTCACCCTTCAAGACCCTTCATCTTTCTCGCAGCCTGACTCTCATCCTCCTCGGCCTGGCCTGCGCTCGCAGCGTGCTGCCCTGCAACGAAACCACGAAGTCCCGGAGCGAGGACACGGTCGGCCCTCGTCTAGGCAACGTCACCGACGAACAAGATCTCCAAAGTGGCCCTGAAGACGTCGAGGACTGGACGCAGCTAGATCGAAACGAGGATCGGAACTCCGACGCGGCGGACCAGCCGAAAGTCGAGCAGATCCTGTACAGAGCGGATCAGCGGCTGCAAATATCTGACGAAAGTTCCGTCGCAGTTTCAACGGCTGGCGAGCATCTCGAGAACTCTGTAGGGTACTCGCGGCTGATCGAGATCACCGTCGGGACTTCGGGGAGCCGTTACGAGACCCTCGGCCGCCACGAAAGGCGAAAGTCCCGGCGGGATGGGATCCGCGCTTCGACTTGGCCCGGCGTAGATCTCGGCGATTACATCGAGCCGAGGGCGAAGAGGAACTTCCGGAACGGTAAATTAGGCGCCAAAGGCGCGAAGTCGGAGCTCGAAGAAGCGGATCCCGATTGCGAGGACTGCGAGGACGAGGAGTCGGCGAGCACCGAGCCCGACAAAGTGACCGGCAGTCCCGAGCCGAGCGAGAACAATCGAACCGGAGATGCCGTCGGCTCGACGGAGGTCGACGGCGAGCTTCCAGCACCGGCGAGCAACGGTAGCAACGAGGAGCCGTTCACGGGGTTCGAGGGTTCCCAGAAGTTCCCCATAAAAGTGACCTACAAGCCCGCGGTGATCCCTCAAGTGGAGAAGTTCGACAGAAGACACTTCGGCCCGCCGAAGATGGACGACACCGAGACCACCCTGGCTGTGTTCCCGACCACCTTGTCCCCGGATCTGCCGAAGAGTCCCGGGAAGGACGTGCTCCATCGGCACAGGAAGGTCGACGAGGTCACGGAAGAGGAGCGGAGGCAGGAGATCGTCGACGCGGTCGAGAACGCGAACGACACGGACGATCTTTGGCTTCCCGGCGCCTCTTCCGGTCGCAGATCCTCCAACATAGCTGCGGGGAAACCCGCCGCGGAGGAGAAACGGGCTACCACAATGCTCCCTGCGTCGACCGCCGGGGGTGAGAAGGCCAGCGGCGGCACCCTGCCGGCGACGGAATCGACCGAGAAGATAAACGTGACCATCCTCGGCTTGTTCGAGATGACGCGGGGATTGGAGCCCAGGCCAGAAGGACCCAGCGAGCTGCAGGCAGCCAGGATGGCCGTCGAGCATGTCAATGAGATGAACATGCTGTCCAGGTTCAGGCTGAGGCTCGTCCACAACGACACCAAGGTGAGACTCGATCGATCCGGTGCTCGCGTCGTGTAGCCTGGTCAGGGTAATCCGAGGAATTGCCGACGGGTCGACCGCGGGTTTCGTGCATCCCGGAGAAAATTGGTAACGCGACACGCGAAACAGTGCTCGCAGATTATTTTGAGGTAATTGAAAGTACAGTCGACGGCAGAATTAAAGCGTCCCGTGGTTTTGTTTTTGAGGAGTCTTCGATTTTCCCGAGCTTATTTTTGGTTTCCCGTTTTCTTGGTGACCGCGGCCTGCGACCGAAAAATCTGAGATAATTTTATAATGCGAGGCTCGATGTTCGAAATTGGCTAGATTTTTGTCGAAATTTTAGAAGGCCGCTGAAGGGTGCAAATTGGCGGAGAAGGGCGCGATCTGATTCATCCTCGTGGTTTATCTTTAGTTATTGTCAGCGGCACACTCGTCATTTAAAGTGCTGCAGCTTAGCGAGAAAAAATCGCGGCTACTTTATTCTGCACTCAAATTAAAGAGGAATGTCCGAGCTTTACGATGATCTAATTGGCATGCTCGAAAAAAATTTGTCCAAGTCCGTAGAGGGCGTTGAACTTCGCACTTTTGACACAATTTGCACTTTTTCTTCTGAACATGCCCTCGGATGTTACGATACTATAGTCATAGAGCTAACCGATATTAGAGATTAGACTACGCTGCCGTAAAGCAGAGATTTCAAGCTTCAATTTAGAGTAAAGCTCATGACTCTACGACGGCTTTCAACGGAGTTACAGCTGCGCGAACGTCGACAATCTGTTCGGCCGAAACTCGGCGATGCTTTAATTTCGTCCGCGAAGAGAAAACATTTCTATACGGCAAGCGTCTCGGAACGGGAACTATTTTAATACAGAAAACATTGATCATCCACGAGCTGGCAAACCGAAGCCGCGCCGCGTCCACCGCGTAATTAGCAATTATCCCGCGGGCCGTATGGCGTCCGCGCGGGTATTAAAATCCGTTCCGTAGTAAGATCCTCCGTTGTCCGCGGTCGAAATAAAATCTCATTTGCGGGCCGTACAAGGAAAGCATTTTAGCCGGAGGTAGCGCTCTTCTGGTCGCGATCGGGAGGGTGCGGGGGGAGGATCGTCGCCGCGTTCGAGGCGCATGCAAATTTTCGGGAACGCATTAGCGGCCGAGGATCGTTGATAGGACGCGCGTCGTCCCTCGCGAGGCGGCGGGGCTTTTTTTCCGAGCGCGGAGAGTCTTCGGTGGAAATCCGTCGGGCGTAGGATTGGTTAGATTACGAATGGCCTACGGCCGTTCTCCGCTCCGGATCCCATTTCCAGCCGGGCACTTCGCTACGTGAGAAGCACGCAGACTCCGGGCACACGGCCAACAATAGACGGGCTTGGAGCGGGGCTCACGCACTCGGTCGAGTTCCCGAAAGACACGTAAAGGCCACGTGACGCGCTTCGGGGGCCCTCCCCCTCCCCCTCCCGTCTAATGAGACTCGTCCGGGAAAAACCGGGGCGAGAAACGGCCCCCAATCCGGCAAACAATCGGCAACACCGCCGAAAGTTTGCCAGCCGGTGCGTATCCCAGAATCCCATTTTCGAAAAGAATGTTCGGCGCGGCGAGAGAGACGAGCCTCCCTAATTAACCGGTCTCTTCTCCTGCCATGTAACCGTCGTCGGAGAACCAAAGAGAGAGAGAGAGAGACACGATTCTCCTACTTGTTGAATTAACTCCCCCGCCGCGGAACGCCGCGCTGCTCCGGGAGACGCGCGACGATCATTAATTCTGCCTCGGGTTTCGCATCGCGGCCCGCTTCATCCATTATGCCCGAGGAACAGCTGTTTTCGAACACCTGTACTAACCCGGAATGACGAGTCCGGTGGCCCCGGGCTCTGATTGCCGCGTGACAGCTTCCCGACGCTTAGGCGTGCCCGGGGGCGGAGCCTGCAGGGCTTTCCGCTGGACTGCGGATAATCGGAGATGCAGATATTTGGGCTGACGTGTGTTCGGTTCGATTTGCGTTGCGTTCGATTTCGTTGCATGTTGACAGGCGAGTCTAATTGCTGACCGATGGCCTGGCATCGTTGATTAGAGGCGTCGGAATGGGTGGGCGGAGCTGGCTCAATCACAGCTGATCAAGTTCTGCTTAATGTCTCTATAAAATAGCTGTCTCCGCGCCATTGTATACTTTCATCGCGGTCTTTGCAATGTGCTCTTTCGTATGAGCAAATGTGGGCGCGGCTAGTGTAGGCGTGGATAGTGTAGGCGTGGCTATTGTGGGCGTAGATATTGTGGGCGTGGATAACAAGAGCGTTCTTACGTCGCGTGGGCGTTCCTGTATTCTAAGGACGTTTGTATATCACCTCACGCCTGTTTCGTCACCACCGTAATCATTTTAACATTAAAAATAATAAAACCACACGTTAAAATTGAAACTCGTTGTTCCGATCGAAATAGATTACGTCGAAGACGTTTTAAGACAGAGAAAGGTGACGAGCAAATGCTTTCGAGTCTCCAGTCCCGCCTTCTACGTTGCCATTTCCTTTTCATTGGCTGAACCAGTCACGCCCACAAGTCAAATGGGCGGGGCCAGCGCGCGTCAGGGCGTGGTTACGCCTGCTCGAAGTTTGAATATAGCGCGTCGATGCATCGATTCACCTCGTCCGTCGATCTCCAGGCAGAGACTGTCACGCATTCGATGCAGGCCGACGATTCAACGAGAACGCGAATTAAGGGGCTGCCACCCCCAACTTGTTGAGTTAATACGGTCTCCCGGTTTTTCCGGCGTTCCTCCCGCGAGCCAGCCGGCCGCACAATGCGGGATACATTCCTCCCGAAGGAGTGGAACACGGTTTTTCCGCGGACAATGCCGGCTACACGCGTTCGCCGAGTTCTCCGTCGTTCTTTTTCGGCTGTTTCTTTTTGCCGGCCGGGTCGGGCCGGTCCGTTGTTTGTCTCCTCCCTGGGAACAGGCGTTCCCAAACAACGGCCGGTGTTATTTTTAATTCGGCAACGGGACGCCGGAGAGACGGAAATGATCGGCGAGAGCCAACAAATTTTTTTTCTCCCCCCCTCCCCCCGCCGTTGCTTCCTTTCCTCTTCGCTCCCCTTTGTCCGCGTTTCCGCGCGCGTGCCCGTATTTTTTTCCACCGTTATTTCGCCGAGCCTGTTCATGTTCAGCCCGTTGTTTCGGGCACGGCACAAAGGGCTAATGCACGCCGAAAGTAAGAATTCGCGAGCGGCCGAGCGCGCTCGGCTGTTCCGATCAAACATTCGACGAGCGATTTAATTGCTCCCGGCGGAGTTGCATGTTTTCGAGCGCGCCAGCGGCCCTCGTTACACGGTTATCGACAGCGCGTTGACGTGGAATTCAAGGAGCGGCAGTTGACACGAACTAAGAGGAAAAACAGAGCTCGCCGGCGCGCCGGCGGGTTCGAGCGTGGCTCGTGCCGGAGACAACGCCGGAGAGAGCCCGCGCAGCTCGAGACCGCGGCCGTCCTAATTCCGCGCGCGGTCCCGTAATTCGGGGCTTGTTGAAAAACTCCATTCGAAAATTACATCAATAGCCACCCTCGACCCTTCGTTACCACGCGGATCATCCAGTTACCGCCGGTTCCAACGAATCGGGAAAACCGGGCGCATCGGAGAAAAGTTGCGAACACCGAACCGCTAAAAAATGCGAGCGTTTGTCGCGGATTAATTATAAGCGAAAATTATGCCTCGTACTACGTGTTCTTATATGTTGCATACACAGTGTGCATGTTGTGTAAAAGCTGCACGTTCTGCGACTTTTACAGCGGACACAGGTCGAAATTAATTTTCGTCTCTCGATCGATCGCGTCATGCTGCAGTGGTTTTCTTTTTTATTAGCAGAATAATTATCAGGCCGCGCATCTTTGTGCAAAATAATAATTGTCAAAGTTGATCGTACCAAACGCGAATAATAATTTTAGATAAATAATTCGAATAAATGGAGAATAACGTAAGAACGTTCGTAAATTTTTCTAACGTCTTCGCAGTTTTATATTTGACCTGTTCATTTTAGCCATAAATGCATGAAATTCGCAGTCTGATCATTATAGAGACAGAAAGAAGGTTTTACACCGTTAACGATAAACGAAAAGCTAACAAAATACCATATTTATATATTACTATATTACCATATTTAATATATATTATTATATATTTATATTATTATGATATATATATAATATTTATATTATTATTGTATATATATAATATTTATATTATTATTATATATATTATATTTATATTATTATTATATATATTATATTATTATATATTCCTATAATTCCAATATAGAAATATACAAACATAACGTTTCGTCAAGCTTTCGTTCGAACGTCATCAAAAATGTAAAAATTACTTTCAATCTATAATTATTCACACCATCATACTATAATAATTCATACTGCAATTATAGCCACACCTGTCTTCTGTCTGACCATTGCAGTCCGAATCTCCTTGTCGCTTTCGCTCAATTCGCTCGAAAAACAAAGCTTCGCGCAAGGAAAACGATTCCACGGTTTTTCCGTTCGCCTTTTCACCGTCGATCAACCATGCCTGACGTGCGGCATGCGAACGAATCGACGGCGGGCTGTCCGCTGGCCAGCAATTTAACGTTCATTCGATATTTATTCTGATTCGCGCGATGCGGCGCGGCGCGTCGCCGGTCCCCGCCCTAGGACCAGCTGCAAATGAGGTTTGAAACAAGCGTAATTTACGAATCTACGCAAAGCTAATTTAGAAGTGAAATTTCGACCCATATAGCGGAGCCGGACCCAGCGCGACCCCGGCCGCCGCACGGCTTTCAGAGGCGACAGCTCTCGCAAAAATATTCCGTGCGCGGCGGAGCAAGTCGACGCTCGGAACGCTTGCGAGTTCGAGGAATCCGGTGACACATGTTCCAGTGTGCATGCATAGGTAATACGTCCTGGCCGAGGCTACCCGAGAAGGTGTCGCGGAAAGGACGGCTGTCGAAGAACTGTCGCGAACCGACGCCCACT